AGCAGACTGGATCAGATGGAAGATTGAACTCACACTTCACGCTGTTATGGTAAGTGTATTTATTTACATATTTTTTCTTTTCATGAAAATTAAGACCAATTGACAATGTTGCACTGTTTCATTTGTCATTCCAAGAAAAGTGCAAGTGAGTGAGAGTGAATGCATGAGGGAGTGAGTTAGTGTCAAAGACAGAAATTTGGATATTGAACATAATCCATCCCTATGAGGTGTCATCCATATTTTGAAAATATGAGACATTGAAGTGTTTTTTATTAGTGTTAATTTTGTTTTAATTGTCCAAGGTATAGGCAAACTCTTTTTTGTGTGTGTTTTCGTAATCAGCATAACGTTTAAGAAAAATATTATAGTCAATCCTTCTCAATGTGGTGACTAATGAGCAGAGCAGCTTCTTCATATCACTGACTGGAGATGCCCCCCAGTTCAGAGCATTTAAGTTGTTCATTTCAAGCCTATTTATTCCTGGGTCAATATTACATTATACTCTCCTTGGGATGAATCAGAATTTCTTGCCTCTTGCTTCAGAGTTAATGTCTGGTTCAGAATTATTTATTCCAACAAGAAACATCATTGGCTGTTCTCAGGGCTAACATTCTGCTGCAAAAATATGTGATTGATTGCTTGAGGATTTTTTTTTTAGTGGGAGGGGTGGTGGTGGAGGCACGGGGGGGCTGTTAGGAATGNTGTTAGGAATGTTTGGGTGATTCTTTACGAGGTTGTAAGATTTCTAAAAGCAAAATTCTTAGGGAAACTATTTATGCAAGGTTGGCAAAAGTCATGTACAAAATACTTACTAATTGTTAAATATTGGATTTGCAGGTAGGTTGCTATAGACATACTTGTAGAGCACAGGATCAAGGACTGTGAACCCAGTACTCAGGACAGAGGACCAGGGAGTAAAGACAGGACTGAGGACTGAGGACTATGGATCAAGGGCAGTGGATGAAAGCAAGCCTTGGATGACCAAGAACTTTCACGGCGATGAATTGTAGATATTTTAAGCTAAGGTATATGAGATGTTATTGCTAGCAGGGATGTCACAGTGGGAGAGGGCTTGCCTCTCACTAATGTGCCATATTTGAGTTTTTTATTGGTTCTCACCTTGGGTTTTTCTCTGGGTACTCCAGTTTCCCTCACTCCTGAAAAACCAACATTTTCAAATTCTAATTCGAATTAGAACTAGTACCCATATAAACAGAGTATTGCACTGACCAATGTGTTGTGTGTGCTGTTCATTTGCAAATAAGTGGCTTGCTTGCAAATTCTCTTTATGGTTATTCTAAGACTTGTCTTTTATTGTCACATTATTATTATTTTTGAAACCAAAATTGCCTCTTCCATGATATCAGAGCAGAACATTTTGCCTATAACAATCATTACTGACTACAAATTAATTGAGACTCAATTATGGTAAAATCTGTTTCTTATGAAATAAAAGTTTTAAGTTTAATTTTTAAATTTATTTTCATGCATACAGGCATAAAACAAAAAAATTGTTCAAAATTGCCTTAAAAGGTAGAATTTTTGCAATTATTATTGTTCAATTCAGAAACAGACAATTGATTGCAAAACCCATGCAGAAAATAAACTAAACTACATTTCGATTAGAAAAAAAAATGTCAAAACGTATTTCTATTGAGTTATAAAAACACGAGTGGAAGTTTAGGAGAATGAGAAATGCCGTGGGAACACGAGCCAACAGGCGAATGTTTCCACAGCTTTTTCGAGTTCTCTCAAACTTTCACTTATGCTTCTATAACTTGGCAGAAACATGGAGAACATGTTTTCTACTTCTTTTGGTAAATACCGCAATGAAAAAGAAAAGAAAACAACTTGACATGTTTACGTTGATCAGCAAATGTAAATTCTCTTTACCTGCACCATCATTATGTCAACAGCTCGTGCTACCTGTGTGTTTCTATCAAGTTATAAAAACACAAATTTTAT